TCCTGCCCTCTGTGGCAAGAGGGAACAACTTTTCTCCATCTTTTTTTTGGCAGCCTTTCAAGTATATGAAAAAGGCTATCATGTCCCCCCTTAATCTCCTCTTTTCCAAGCTAAACATACCCAGTTCCTTCAGCCTTTGCTCATCTGGCTTGCATCCCATCCCTTTGATCATCTTTGACACTTGCCCCTGGATCCTTTCCAGTTTCTCTGCAGCCCTTTCTATATGGTTGGTGACCAAAACTGGGGCACTATTCCAGGTGAGGCCTAACCAGCACTGAGTAGAGCTATGCCTCTGTTAATGCAACCTAACATTGCATTTGCTTTGTTTGCAACAGCATCGCATTGCTGGCTCATGTTGAGGCTGTGATCCACCACAACTCCCAGATCCTTCTCAGCAGCGTTGCTGCCAAGCCAGTTTTCCCCCGTCTGTATTTGTGCATTTGATTTTTCTTCCCTAAATGTAGCACCTTACATTTGTCTTTGCTGAATTTCATTTTGTTATCTATAGGCCAATTCTCCAATTTATCAAAACCCCTTTGAATTTTAGCTCTAGCCTCCAAAGTGTTGGCAGCCCCCGGTCCCAGCTTTGTGTCATCTGCACATTCGATCAGTATGCTCTGTATTTCTACATCTATGTCATTAATAAAGTAGGGCTGTCACGCTATTAAAAAAATTAATCGCGATTAATCGCACACTTAAAAAAATTAATTGTGATTAATCACATTATTAAACAATAATGGAATACCATCTATTTAAATATTTTTTTGATGTTTTCTGCATTTTCAAATATATCGATTTCAATTATAACACAGAATACAAAGTGTACAGTGCTCACTTTATATTTATTTTTATTACAAATATTTGCACTGTAAAAAACAAAAGATATTCACCTCATACAAATACTGTAGTGCAATCTCTTTATCGTGAAAGCTGAACTTATAAATGTAGAATTATGTACAAAAAAATAACTGCATTGAAAAATAAAACAACCTACAAGTCCACTCAGTCCTACTTCAGCCAATCGCTCAGACAAACAAACTTGGTTACAATTTGCAGGAGATAATGCTGCCCGCTTCTTGTTTACAATGTCACCTGAAAGTGAGAACAGGCGTTCACATGGCACTGTTGTAGCCGGCGTCACAAGATATTTACGTTCCAGATGCACTAAAGATTCACATGTCCCTTCATCTTCAACCACCATTCCATAGGACATGCTTCCATGCTGATGACGGGTTCTGCTCGATAATGATCCAAAGCAGTGTGGATTGACGCATGTTCATTTTCATCATGAGTCAGATGCCACCAGCAGAAGGTTGATTTTCTTTTTTGGTGGTTCGGGTTCTGTAGTTTCCTCATCGGAGTGTTGCTCTTTTAAGACTTCTGAAAGCATGCTCCACACCTCATCCCTCTCAGATTTTGGAAGGCACTTCTGATTCTTAAACCTTGGGTCAAGTGCTGTAGCTATTTTTAGAAATCTCACATTGGTACCTTCTTTGCGTTTTGTCAAATCTGCTGTGAAAGTGTTCTTAAAACGACAATGTGCTGGGTCATCATCCAAGACTGCTATAACATGAAATATATGGCAGAATGTGGGTAAAACAGAGCCAAAGACATACAGTTCTCCCCAAGGAGTTCAGTCACAAATTTAATTAACACATTATTTTTTAATGACCATCATCAACATGGAAGCATATCCTCTGGAATGGTGGCTGAAGCATGAAGGGGCATATGAATGTTTAGCATATCTGGCATGTAAATACCTTGGAACGCCGGCTACAACGGTGCCATGCGAACGCCTGTTCTCACTTTCAGGTGACATTGTAAATAAGAAGCAGGCAGCAGCATCTCCTGTAAATGTAAACAAATTTGTTTGTCTTAGCGATTGGCTGAACAAGAAGTAGGACTGAGTGGACTTGTAGGCTCTAAAGTTTTACATTGTGTTGGTTTTGAGAGCAATTAGGTAACAAATAAAATCTACATTTGTAAGTTGCACTTTCATGATAAAGAGATTGCACTACAGTACTTGTATGAGGTGAATTGAAAAATACTATTTTTTGTTTATCATTTTTACAGTGCAAATATTTGTAATAAAACATAATATAAAGTGAGCACTGTACACTTTGTATTTTGTGTTATAATAGAAATAAATATATTTGAAAATGTAGAAAAACATCCGAAAATATTTAATAAATTTCAATTGGTATTCTATTGTTTAATAGTGCGATTAATCGTGATTAATTTTTTTGAGTTAATTGCATGAGTTAACTGCGATTAATTGACAGCCCTATAATAAAGATATTAAATAATACCGGACCCAGAACATAGCTCTGTGAAACCCCACTCGAGACCTCCTTCCAATTTGACTTCATTTCATTAATATTTACTTGTTGTTTGCAGTTGTTTAACCAATTATGTATCCGCTTAATGGTAGTTCTGCTGAGTCTGTATTTCTCCAGCTTACTTATCAGAATAGCTTGTGGGACTGTGTCAGAAGCCTTGCTGAAGTCCAGGTATATGATGTCCACTGCATTCCTCCATCCACCAAACCAGTTACCCTGTCAAAGAAGGAAATCCAGCTGGTTTGGCAGGATTTCTTCTTGGTAAATCTATGCAGTAATAGCACTACACTTAAAATAACTCCCTGCTTTACCTCTTGCTTTGAGACTATTACAGCCACATACAGCAATATGTCTTAGGGCTTGACTACGCTTGAAATGCTACAACAGTGCTGTGGCGCTTCAGAGTAGACACTACCTACCCTGATGGGAATGATTCTCCTGTCAATGTTGGTAATCTACCTCTCTGAGAGGCGGGGTGAACTCTTCCATCAGCCCACCACTGGCTACACCCGGGGATAGGTCAGCTTAACTACACTGCTCAGGGGTGTGGATTTTTCACATCCCTGAGCGACATAGCTGGGTTGACCTAACTTCTTAGTATAGACCAGACGTCAGTAAGCTTTTATACTAGTCTAATCTTCATTCTCACTGACACACGCTTTTCTTTCCAAACTGCCTTCCATTTGCATGAGCACTGAATGCAGTATGGCTAAGCTTCCCTAGCTACCGTTTTAAATGTCCTTCGAGATAGAGCCCACATAACTGAAATCATTCTACCTGAGATCACATAACCCTAAAGTCAGAGGGCTTTTTGTGTTGTTCACTGTTCACCAGCTCCTGCCCGTTAGTCAGTTTTCATGCTTGTACAGTGTCAAGGTTAGCAAACTTTCAGGGAACATAATGTTGTCCCGGGGGTGGGGGTGAGGGGGAGGGTATCAGAGATGTCAGTGTTGATACGTCATATCTGCACACTGTGCTTTCTAGACTTTTGCTGCATATTTGACAGTATTCGTGTTCTGATTTGTTCAGTGGAAAAAAAAAAGTCAAAGATGAAACATTTGGGCGTATTTTGTCAGCTAGCTGTGCAGAGGGCCAGCACAAGTCTTGAGTGGGATTTAAGTTGGGTATGGGGGCAAATGTCACCTTAACAGACCATTAATAACATTGAAAGCTTAAGCTATAGACTGCAGACTTCTTGAAGACCTGAGACAAAGACCCTGACCCAAGACCAACACAGCTTGCAAAGTATCTATCAAAAGGAATAAAGAAAGGAGGGTTGGAAGATGAGATCACTTAGATGGCAGAATAAGGGTGGTTTGAGTTCCTTAACTGTGAATTTGCATATTTTCAAGTGTTTGGGGTACTTGGACATTTGATCTTCTAACTTTCCTGATTTTTAATGTGGTTTTTTGTTTGTGTGTGGGGTTCTTCCTAACTTCAATGTGCTTATAAGGATTTTTACTCTTAAGTTACTGAAGTGTTCTCTGAATCTTAGCTTTACTTCAGCCAAGTTCTTTGTCTGAATAGGAACCAGAGGAGTTAGAAATTTAAAAAATGCATTCAGTTGCCAAGTCCACTGCTGCCAGTTCAGGATCTAGTGCCTCATTTAATCTTGGCCCAAAGACCAAGGAAATCCTAGCTGAAGACATTGCTAGTGTGTTGTAGATCTAAAGTGTGTATGAGGACACATAGTAAGAAGGGATTGTAGAGTTAGCAGTGCCAAAGTCTTGAAAGAAAGCTGCTCAGTATCTGCTGGGGACATCAGAAAAGTGAAAGCTCCTGACGATTTCATGAGAGCTACAAGACAGACTTAACTAGATTTGTGCAATGTTCAGAGAGGAAAAGAATCACGCCTCCAAGAAATTTACAAGCAAAACAAAGCAGCAATTAGTATCACATGGCACCCTAGAAGCAATACAAATTTACCCAGATTGGCTATCAAGACAGCAATAACACGTAGTTGGTATGATTGCACGATTCATATTTGCCAATCTGCGAGATTGAGAAATGAGCCCCACTCTAAGTGAGGTTCTGAGTACAACTAAACCAATCCGTTCCCGTGACTCAAGATTCTAGACTTTCCCATCTCATCTCTTCTTCACACCACGTCTGATGTATTTGCAGGCGAAGTCTCCTGCAGAACGTGTTTTGATTCAGTATCTTTCAGAAAGTTAATTTCGGCCAGATCCTCTCAATCAATCAATTAATTTTTTTGTACAGCACCTGCCTACAATGTGCCTGACTCTAGCCCTTCACTTCTGTGTGTACTACATTTGCTAGATAACTTTATAAATCAAAATAAGAGCAGGTTTGTAATAACCATTGGGAGACATGGGATTCCATGTGTCCCACCCTAGCTATCAAAGGATAGTAACAAAGAAGTTAAGTAAACATTTAAGTAAACGTTGCTTCATAGGCACAATTGTGATACAAATATACGCAGGGCTATTGGAAACTAATACAATTATCAGGATTTAAAGAACTGAAGGCCAGATCCCCAGCTGGTCTAAATCAACATTGAGACTTCAGCGGAATAAACCTGATTTATACCCTTTGAGATTCTGGCCTGGAGAATCTGGTTTATTTCCTTAACTCTGAAATCAATAATCCAAAGCTTAACAAGATGTCACAGCATGTAGTAACCTAAAATGTGATTTGCAGGAGTGCTCAGAGAAGCGGATGTACAATGGGGCATTCCCTTCTTCCCCATTCATCTACTACTATGATGATAAGTATGACATCAAGAGGAGAGCTCAGAGGGCAAAGAGAAAGGTTGAAGGTATGGTATATTTTGAGAAATACTTCTTACTGACCATCACATTTTTAAGTGGTCTTTAATCAGGGTACATTGGTATACTTACTGGTTTTTGTTAGGCATTTTGTAATCTTGGCTTTTTCCTTGTTGTGGAAGATGATGATGGAGATTATCTCAATCAACAAGCAGGGCAAGATTGATGAGTTTAGTAACCTCAGTCTGTTCCTGAAATGCATTGTTCCAAGCCTCTAAAAGGACACCAGGAAGTACTTTAACCCCAAAATCTCACAGACCTTAAAATGGTTATAAACTGATGGGGAGTGTTCTCTGAATTGTAAAATATGTTGTTAAAAATCTGTTACCAAAAACAATTACAGTGAAAAAAAAACAATATATATGAATGGCCACTTTCTACAATGAGACCACTTGTGGAGGAAGGTACCACTCAACATGAGTAAAGCTGGCAGGGTCTGGTGCTTACTCTGTCCAGATCTCTGAAAACCCATCTGTAGAGCAGGTATCTCTACTTCACAGCCAGATCAGCAATTTTTGGATTGCAGAATCTTGACTATAGAAACGTCAGAGGTAAAATGACACCGTTTGACTTTCCAATCCCAGATTGAATATATGGGTCTTCCAAAGATAATCGTTTTTTAAACTGAGCAAATGTCATATGAAGTCACTGAGAGAAAATGATTATGAAAACCCACAGTATCGCTTTTCTGGCTGCAACTGCACTTTAAAATGACATGACGATAAACTTCTGGCTTACCCAGTGTTTGCCAAAATGTCTGAGTTTTACCCAGGTCCTCAGATTTTTACATACCAGGTCAATTGCTGACCCCCAAACTGCAAACAGAGCTGTGGTTTTCCAGGGTTGTGCTTCTGGCCTCCTAGTGACTATTAAAAGAAACTGTTCTATTTTACAGAACTTCAAGAAGCCGGCCTTTTGCCAGCGCAGTTCAAGAGACTGCGCAAGGAGGAAGAGCGCAGGGGACAATGTCTTAAGAAAAAGAAAAACCTTTGGAAAGAGCATGTCAAGAGTCCTAAAGAAGAAAAGCGCCACAAAAAGGCCAATAAAAAGTCCTGGGCAGAGGAACGCAAAGAGAAGAAACACAAGAAAGATGTCCAAAGGAATAACGACCAGGAGGAGGACTTTCCTAGGGGGGGTAGAACACACTCCCCTAAGGGCAGCACAAAGCATCACAGCTCTGCCTTCTCTCCACATGGCAGGAAAACAAAAAATGGCCAGGAACTGCTGGATGCAGCTAAAAAGAAGAAGAAAAAGAGAAGGCAGAGAAACAAGAAAGACAGTAGTTCCACCATTGATGAGAGCTTATTCCTTATAAAACAGAGGAAAAAGAAATCAAAACAGGAATCCAGCTGCTAACCTGTCAACAGAAAGCTACGGTGGGAGGGGGGCGTAACTCACCACCGTTTTGCCATGGTATTTTTCTGACCCTGTGCTAAGATGTAGAATTTGAATCCACCTTTGCATACAGGCTTGGATGTGTAAAACCAACACGACAAAGAATACTGAGCTTGTGACTCTCAGCTTCTTAAAGAGAGTATTTGCCAACGGGTAGGAAGTGGTTAATGTACGCGAGTAAAATCATACTGTATTTTTTGGCAGTCCCTCTTTTTCTGTAAGTCGATGAAAGGTTGGGAACTTTTTTTTTTTTTGTTTGGATGAATGAGGGAAAAGGTCCATAGTGGGGAGGTTTGGCCTTCTGTCCTTTGAGCGATTCCTTTTAAGAATGCTACACCTGTCAAAATACTGTAGTTAAGCAAATGTGATTCCCTTGCAGCCTGACTTTAAAGAGAGGCTTTCACACTGGGGAGACTTGGAGAAGGGGCAGGGAAGGGGAAAGTAAACAGCAATACAAAAAACAATCTTTTTGGTGAAGCATTTTCTTGCTTTTCACCCAGCTGGAGTCCGCAGTGAAAATGTTGTATTGTACTTACGACATGACAGTCTTTTGCTGTGGAAACTCATGGGATGTCACAAATTCATCATAATCACAGCATTGCAAGTTTAAGTATCAGGAGCAGATGAACTACGAGGAAGCAAATCCTTGATTGAATAACAAATCTCTCTGCTAACTGGTAAGCAAGAGAAGTTCAATTAAAAAATGTTACAAGCAGTTGGGTTGACATCTGGAATTAAATATGCCATAGTTTTCCACAGTGTGGAAGTCCTGCTTTTTAAAAGATAAAATTATGTAGCCAAGCTATAGAATGCAAGCAATTTACCTGCTTCCAGAAATATAATGCCTACGTTTAATGACTTATTGGGTCTTTTTGTTTTGTTTTTTTTAAGAAATGAAGTATTTTTTGTACTCAAAGAATTAAAAACTTTGTAAGGATAAATACTTTATCAAAGGAACCAACCAAATAAAGTTTTACGTGGGGATACATGAAAAGATACCTTGGTTATACATTTTTCTTTTGAGGTAGAAAACAATACCTGGGTTTTGTTAACAAGATTAAATTATGTCAGTTCCAACCAAAAGGCTCTCTGCTATGGAATAATATAGATACCCTCTTCTGAGCACCTTTTCTAACCTGAGCAAAACAGTAGCTAACAATAATGGCTTCATAGAGTTGGTATGTACTCCTTGAGAGAGTTCTGCTGGCTTTGAAAACTGTTGGATTTTGAAACTGAATAGGATGTGTGTTAACCTGTGTAGGCAAGCCCTTAGTTACATGGGGAGAATTGCCTGCATAGCTATACCAGTATAATTATGCCAGTAAAACTCCACATGTGGACACTGTTATCCCAGGATAATTATGCTGGTAATTTTCCGTGTGTAGACAAAGCCCTAATTCATCGGCTTTTGGGTTAAAAGGATCACCTGGGTGAACGTAAGGATTTCAGTAGCCATATTCTTACATATCAGAGATTATTTGGAGCAAAAATAGACAAATATGAATTCATGTATCTCGGGCCCCAATTCCACTTCACGTAAGATGTGTCCTCAGAGGTGGTTTCAAACTGATTTTTGTTTAACTCAATGCTGTATTTAAATGACAATTCTCTTGGGGTACTTGGAAAAAATTAATCACATGTAATTTTTTAAATTCACTCTTGAAAAGACTTTGCCCTAATATCCGTTCTGAGCCTCCTTCCCTATCTGGTGCATTTCACGTTCCTTTTCACTTCTCAGCGGACCATCCAGTCTAGACTAAAGGCCCTTGTGGGACAGCAAATTGAGGAGCTTTTCTTGCTTTGGATTGAATCCATCAGCCAACCCCCTAGCCTCTGTTCTGTCTCTGGTGTGGGGGAATGGCCAGGTAGCCCACAGCAAAGCAGTTGGGCTCCTTCAGAAGAGGAGAGTTTTCTGCACAGTATGAAGTGGTCTGCTCTTCACCCTCATGCAGTCAGCTCCCAAAGCCCAGGAAACAACACCCAGCATAATGAGTTGTAAGTGAGCACCCAGAGGAACAGCATGGCCATGCCCCTTCCTCGGGCTTGCACCCCGTATACAATGTAATACACAAGTAATGGGCAATCCAGGCACTGGAGATCCTGTTACCATCTTCCAGGAAAACAAACATATTCAAAGCACACACGCAGTCCTGCATGAATGGAATTCATCCTGGCAGGGGGACTCCATGGGTATGTCTACACTGCAAGTAAACACCTGCATCTGGCCGGTGTCAGCGGAGTTGGGCTCATGGGGCTCAGCCTACAAGGCTGTTTAATTGCAGTGCAGATGTTCAGGCTCAGGGACCCTTCCTGCAGTGGGAGACTCCAGAATTACCTCAGCAGCCAGCAATGAGTAAAAGGCCCCGATGTGACGTGGGCTGTCATAAACGAGAGAGGTTAGAAGGCGATAATTCAAGGGCGGGCAAACTTTTTGGCCTGAGGGCCACATTGGGTTTCCGAAATTGTATGGAGGGCCGGTTAGGGGAGGCAGTGGCCCAGCCCCCGCCCCCTAGCTGAGCCCCACCTGCTTCTCTCCCCCTACAGTCCCCCCCCGGGACTCCTGCCCCATCCAACTGCCCCTGTTTCCTGTCCCCTGATGGCCTCCCTGGGATCCCGGCACCATCCACCCCTCCCTGTCCCCTGATCGCCCCCGGATCCCCCACCCCTGACCTCCCCCCACTGCCCCATCCAACCCCTCCTCTCCTTCCTGACTGCCCCCCCGGGACCCCTGCCCCATCCAACCACCCCTTCCTCCCTGTCCCCTGACTGCCCCCAGAACCCCTGCCCTGACTGCCCCCCGCAACCCCATCCAACTCGCCATCACCTTCCTGACTGCCCCCTGGGGACCCCTGCCCCCATGTTCCCCGCCCTCTGACCGCCCCGACCCCATCCACACCCCCGCCCCCTGACCATCACCCTGAACTCCCCTGCCCTCTATCCCCCTGCTCCCTGCCCCCTTACCGTGCTGCCTGGAGCACCGGTGGCTGGCGGCGCTACAGCCGCGCCGCCCGGCTGGAACCAGCCATGCCACCGCGCAGCACAGAGCACCGGGTCAGGCCGCAGCTGTGCTGCCCCAGGAGCTCGCAGCCCCACTGCCCAGAGGATTGCGCCGGCGGCGGAGTGAGTGAGCTGAGGCTGCGGGGGAGGGGGAACAGCAGGGGAGGAGCCGGGGGCGAGCCTCCTGGGTAAGGAGCTCAGGGGCCAAGCAGGAGGGTCCCGCGGGCCGGATCTGGCCCACAGACTGTAGTTTGCCCACCTCTGCGATAATCCATAGATCTTATGGCAGGAGTGACCATTACGATCAACAAGCCTGACCTGCCTAACACAGGCCACGGAATCTCATTCAGTGATTCCTGCCTCTGGCCCGTCACTTCTGGGTAGTGTGAATCCAGCATTGCATCTCATTTTCAAGACACCCACAAGGCAATAAAGGGCACAGTGCATTCCTCACCCATCCATCCTTCAGTGTCCACAATGTGGAGATGTGTAAACTTTATGTAACGGCATAGCCCAGTGACATGTAACACAAGGATTCCACAAATACAGTACAATAAAAATACTCAAAAAAGCAAATTATAGCACCACTATCATTACCATACCAATGAGGCAACACTATAGAAAATCTAGCAATTATTGTGCTTAGTAACTACAAGTGGCCTTTAAATAACCATATGGATTCATAAATTCCAAGACCAGACAGGACCACTTGTGACCTCTAGTCTGAGCTCCTGTATAACATAGGACTTCCCCAAATTATTCCTAGAGCAGATCATTTAGAAAAACATCCAATCTTGATTTGAAAATTGTCATTGATGGAGAATCCACCACGACCGATGGTACATTGTTCCACTGTCTAATTACCGCTACGGTTCAAAATGTATGCCTTATTTCCCTTCTGAATTTGTCTGGTTTCAACTTCCGGCCACTGGATGGATGGGGGGGGGGGGTAGCTCAGTGGTTTGAGCATTGGCCTGCTAAACCCAGGGTTGTGAGTTCAATCCTTGAGGGGGCCACTTAGGGATCTGCAGCAAAATCAGTACTTGGTCCTGCTAGTGAAGGCAGGGGGCTGGGCTCAATGACCTTTCAGGGTCCCTTCCAGCTCTATGAGATAGGTATATCTCCATATATTATATTTATTTATTATATTATATTTACCTTTCTCTGCTGGATCAAGGAGCCCATTATTAAATATTTGTTCCCCACATAGGTACTTACAAACTGTGATCAAGTCACCCCTTCACCTTGTCTTTGTTAAGCTAAATAGATGGAGTTCCTTGAGTCTGTCACTATAAGGCAGGTTTTCTAATCTTTTTATCGTTATTTGGCTCTTCTCTGAACTCTCTCCAATTTATCAACATCCTTCTTGAATTTTGAGCACCAGAACTGGACACAGCATTACAGCAGCAGTTGCAGCAGTGCCAAATACAGAGGTAGAACAACCTCTCTGCTCCTATTTGTGATTCTCCTGTTTACGGATCCCAGCATTTTGGCCACTGCATCACATTGGAAGCTCATGTTCAGCTGATTATCCACCATGGCCCCCAAATCTTTTTTCAGAGTCACTTCTTCCCAGGATAGAGAACACCCATAAGTATGGCCTGTGTTCTTTTATCCTATATTGAGCAGTACTGAAATGCATATTGTTTGCTTGTATCCAGCTTACCAAGAGATCCAGATCACTCTGAATCAGTGACCCGTCCTCTTCATTATTTACTACTTTCCCAATTTTTGTGTCATCTGCAAACTTTATTAGTGATGATTTTATGTTTTCTTCCAGGTCATTGATAAAATGTTAATTAGTGGGGGGCCAAGAACGATCCCTGCAGGACTCCCTGGAAACACACCTTTTCAATGACTAGTCACCATTTACAGTTACATTTTGAGACCTATCAGTTAGCCAGTTTTTAATCCATTTAATGTGTGCCATCTTAATTCTATATCGTTCTAGATTTTAAATCAAAATGTCATGCAGTACCAAGTCAAAAGCTTTACACAAGTCTAAGTATATTACATCAGCACTATGACCTTTATCAGCCTAACGTGTAATCTGATCAAAAAAGGTATAAAGTTAGTTTGATAAAACCTATCAATCCATGTTGATTTGCATTAATTACATATCCCGTCTTTAATTCGTTATTAATTGAATCCCATATCAGCTACTCCATCGTCTTCCCCAGGATCAATGTCAGGTTGAGAGGCCTATAATAACTAGGTCATCCTGATTATCCTTAGCACAACTTTAGCTGTCTTCCTGTGTTCTGGAACTCTCCCAGTGCTCGGAGACTTATTGAAAATCAACATTAATGGTCCAGCAAGCTCTTCAGCCAGCTGTTTTAAAACTCTTGGCTGTAAGTTATCAAGACCTGCTGATTTTAAAATGTCTAACTTATGTAGCTTCTCTTTAACGTACTCTGGAGATATTAATAGAATGGAAAGAGTGTTATCACCATATGATAAGACCACTTCATCTGTTTCTCTCCAAATACAGAACAGACACATTTTTTGAACACTTCTGCCTTTTCTGTATTGTTGTTGATAATTCTACCATTTCTATCTAGTAATGGACCAATACTATTGTCGGGATACTTTTTGTTCCTAATATATTTTTAAAATTCCTTTTTATTGTCCTCAACTCTGCTGGCCATAGATTTCCTTTTGGGGCATCTATTAAGGTGTTCTTCAATGATTCCCAATTATCATTAAAAACACTTGTTCTGAGGTGCCGAAGGATGTGGGAGGCAGACCAGTTGAGGGTCTCTGGGTAAGATAAAAGGTGTAAAAAAAAGGGGTGAAGTCAAGGTTGAGCTCCACCAGATCAGGATGAGAAGATAGATGAAGCATTTCTAGAACAAGTAACAGAAATACCCAGAACACAAGACCTGGTAGTAATGGGGGACTTTAACTACCCAGACATCTGTTGGAAAAGTAATGCAGTAACTCCTCACTTAACGTTGTTGTTATGCTCCTGAAAAATGCGACTTTAAGCGAAACGATGT